CACAAGATGAAAGCCACTCATCAAGAGGCAAGATGGTGGCAGAGAAAAGACATTTGGTTAAGCAGTGAGCTGGCAAATCAAAATGGGGGACTCGTGTCCTAAAGAACCATCTTAAGGAAGACACAGAATCTTGAAGCAGTTATATAGGCTAGTGGGTTATAGGAGAGATGGTTAGGAATGTTGACCCTCTAGTGTTACAGACTGGGAGTGGACACACCAGGTCTTTCAGTTGTCATTGATGATGGCCATCAGCATAGACACTGTCCGGGCAGCATCACCTTCGTAAGGAACTCAAAAGGACAAAGTTACTGTCATCGCAGCTAGGAGGTATATACACAAGCAGGGGTCATGAAATGTACAGAGTAGGTAGACAGATCTCCTGGAGGGGGCAGATCCAGCAGGGTTAGTTAGTTAGAGGTCATTCAAAGTTACAATATGATTTCTACAATATGGCTTCCCTTATGTCAACCTTGTGTTGACCTGGTATTAGTAATAACAAATAAGTGGAAATTATGTAAATGCCTATCAATACAAGGAATACCATGAGACAATTTGAGATTCAACTGTATGAACTAACATGGAATGATCCCCAAGATACATTGCTGAATTTTTTACATTAGGTTGCAGATTAGTATGTTCAGTATGATATCTCTTATGTTTTAAAAAGGGAAATCATGCAGTAAGCATTTTCTGCAGATAGATTTATGTATGTGAATGCATAGAAAAAGTTCTGGAAGGACAAACCAAATGATATCAAGGCTTACTTCAGGCAAATCAGAGAAAGGCCCAGGCTCCAGAATGGAAGTAAAAGGAGACCCTAGAGATAGGCTAAGGACATTTTTCTTTTTTAACTAGGAGAATGTATTCATGTGTTACTGTGTAATAGAAGCTTGTTTTAAGAAAAGAAAGCAAACTTAAGGGAAACCGACTCCTGTGGAGATTGAATTGGCACCACTCTCCATTTGCAGAGCAAAGTCTTTGAGTAGTTTCCAGCCTAAGACAGTGACCTGAGGGCCAGATTGCTGCCCACTGTGGACCAGGAGCCAAGGATCCCTCTAGGGAGGGAGGGCCAGAGGGCCTGAATGTCTGGGATGCCCAGTGATGTTAGGAGGGCTGCCTCGGGAGGAATTAGTACAGATACGTGATACTAAGAAGACAGTTCAACAGCCACCTTTTGCCAGCCCTGGTAGCAGTAGTCAGGTATTCAGGCCAGTATCTTCAGTATGGGGAGCCTGTGGCCAGAAGAGGTGTAAAGCTGAGAGTTCCTCTGCAACCTGGTAACTATGGACATGAATTTCCATAGTGTGAGTGAGTGAAGTGTGCCCTAAGAGAAGGCCTTGTGGATCTAAGGGAGGCCAGAGAAGCTGAGGATGCCTGTCTGACTAGATAGAGGCTATGACCAGAACTCAGAAAGGGAATGTATTATTTATTGCTGTGTGACAATACTACCACCAATTTAGCAGCTTAAAACAATACACATTGTCTCAGATTGTCTGTGGGTTAGGAGTCTGGGTACAGCTTTACAGGGCTCTCCACTTCAGGGTCTCATCTGAAAGCTGTTGTCAGTGTGTCAGCCAGGGCTATGATCTCATCTCAAGGCTCAACTGGAAAAGGATCTGCTTTCGAGTTCATGTAATTGTTGATAAAATTCAGTTCTTTATGACCTATTGGCCAGAGGGCTTCAGGTTCTTGCTGGCTGTCAGCCGGAGGCCACTCTTGGCTCCTTGCTTCATCAAACCCAGTAAGGGGGAGAGTCTCCTGGAAAGAGAGACACTATAGTCCTATGTAATGTAACCATGGAAACAATATCCCATCACCTTTGCTGTATTCCATTAGAAGCAAATCACAGGACCTGCCCACACTCAAGAAGACAGGATTTCACAAGGGCATGAGGACCACAGGTGGGATTATGGGGGCCATCTTAGAGTCTGTTCACCACAGGGAAGAGGGCATGGAAACAAGAAATTGGCCCTTCAGTCCTCTGAGAAAAGAATCCCGGGAAAGACAGATGACAGAAGAGAACAACATGGCAATTGGAAAGGAGAAGTTTAAAAAGCATAGGTCTGTATTGCACACGAATTCCAGAGAGAAAGACTACAGGCAAATCATATGTTCCAACTTTTCTAGTTACTATGTTTGTTAGTAAAAATCCACTTAACAGTTTTCGAAAACCAAGGACCTTACTGGCCCAGAAAGCAGGGAAGGCCACTGAGAGGAACAGATCCATTCACAGAACCACAGATGTGGTTTCCCCAGGCTCTAAACCCTCCCCAACTCTAATTCAGACATAGGCCAAGAAGAGAAGGCTGTCACAATGGTTCCTTCAAGCAAGGAGGGGAAGTGCATGTCCTGTCATCCCAGAGGCAGAGGCCACAGAAATGTTGAGAAATTAGTATACCAGTGATGGGTTTGTGCAAGTAGCATCAATAACAGCTTTTCCAGAAAACAAACTTGCGATAGGTACATTAAATTTGGTGGAGCACTTCCTCAAAATGTATAAGGGAAACTCGTTGTACTCATTGTTGAAGGTTAGGCAACCTAATTAAGGCATTTCCAGTTCCGAAGGAAATGTATTAAGTGATTCAAGAAAAATTCATTGTAGAGTTATTTCATTGAGAGAAAGGGTGGAGTAGGGGGCACTGATGTGTATGGACATGGATCCCCCTTTAAAGCAAGCTTAAGGGCTTATGAGAACACCAGGACTTCCAACAGAAAGCGCACATTCCTTCTCCTTCAGCTCCAAGACTAGATGGAGTAATGAGCTCCAATAAAAAGAAATTTAGAGAATTCAGAGAGTTGGCAGGGGAGAGGGAAGGAATTGACCTGTAGTGAGTGATTTGTCTAATGTGCAAATTTGCTCAGGGCACTCCCCTGCTTAAATACACTTGACGGCTTCTTAGGCCTCCAGAAAAAGGCAATCTCCACCAGTTTACAAGATCCTCCATAATCTGTCTTCTGCTTTCGTGATCTGGCTTTCTCCTTGCTAGGGCCAAACTGGAATGAAACATTTCTGAAGACCAACAAAGATGGGCTCTTAGTGTTCTTTGGGGATTTTCTGTGGAAATAATTATAGGTGACTGATTCGTAGCATTTAAATCCAGAAGAAAAGATTCACTGGATGTGTGTATACTTGATTTTCAAATGAACAGCTGCTGCTGTGTGGCCCCACATGGAGAAGAGGGCCAACCTAAGGTGATTAGAAGGGAGTGTTTTCAATGGTGCAGAGGGATGGGAACAGAACAAACAGGATAGGATAATCTTCCTATTGTGTTAGAAGTTTGAAGGAAACTGAGAATAGCTCTCTATTTTAGCTTCTATGGTGTAATGTTTCCAATTGTATTAACAGATTTTTTTATTTGGAGGAAGATTAGCCCTGAGCTAACATCTGTACCCATCTTCCTCTATTTTACATGCGGAACACCTGCCACAGCATGGCTTGACAGGCAGTGTGTAGGTCCGCACCCGAGTTCTGAACTGGTGAAGCCCGGGCCGCTGAAGCAGAGAGCACGAACTTAACCACTACGCCACTGGGCTGGCTTCAACAGATATTTTTTTGAACACTGACTGAAACCGTATCTGCTTTCTTCCAAAATTATGTTTCAAATGGGAAAAGAACTGGAAGAAGGTAGGAACTGCAGGGCGGCTGTTGGGTCTTCTGGACAGGACTAGCCTTATGGGGGTAAATGTATGTTTAGTTCTAGTAGATATCACTGGTATTTCAAAGTGGTTGTCCCACCAACAATGAATGACAGTGCCAGATACTCCACAAATTCAAGAACAATTGTCAGTCCTTTTCATTTAGCCTATGTGGGTATGTAATAGGATCTATGTGTATAACTCCCCCAATATCTAATGATGTTGAGGACCTTTTCATATGCTTATTGCCCACCTGGATATTCTCTTTGGGGAAATAACTGTTCAAGACTTGGCCCTTTTTTCATGGGATCTGTGTTTGGATAAATTATTTTTGCATAAGAGTCCTTTAGTGATTTCAGTATTTTCTCCCAGTTGAGCCTTGCCTGAATACTAGACCCACAAGTCAGCAACTATTTATGGTGGCATGGTTTGGGAACTCCTCAGCTACTAGAATCTTCCTCTTAAGCAGCTAACTCTACAGTGTGATTTAAAATTACTTCCAGAGGATGCAATGCAGATGGAGGAATGGTGACTATTCAATGGCCTGAAGGAAACCTATGCTTAGAAATGTTCCTGGGAGGGTATGAAGTGGGAAAACATCAGCCCTTAAGTCCCCATGTAGACTCTGGACTTGCAATGGCAAGAAGAACCTAAAAGTTCCTTAAGTTTAAAAAAAAAAGGTCATCTATAAAGAGATCGAGTCAGACTGGCATCACCCTTCTCATCAGCAATGGTGAACTCTAGAAGCTGTCAGTAATTCCATCACATGTCTGAAGGTCCACGTCCTAGAAGTCTAGATGCAGCCAAAGTATTAGTTCAGTGTACACTAGGTGAGACATTTTCAAACATGCAAGGACTAAAGACATTTAAATCACAGGTACCTAGGAAAATGGAGTAACCAAGAAACAAGGTCCCAATGACAGCTGTGAAGCAAGCCTAGGGAAGGCGCTTGAAGGTATCTGAGAAAAGAGTAGAGATACGATCCTAGAGACCTTACACAAGTGATGAAGCCAGACGATGGAGAAGGGAAAGGAATCCTGGTTCTCTCCACTGGGAATTCCCACCGCCTCTGGGCCCACCTCACTAAGACACACAGCTCTGCACAGCCATGAGCCCTCAATAATGGAGGATGGACGAAGGAGAGATCCAGGCCCAGAGGGAGGCCTCCCTTCCACAGATAGCCCAATGAGGCTTCCTGTGTATGGGTGTCAGAAACAGGAACGAGGAGTCTCAGAACACCTTCCAACCACACAGGATGCCCATGGACTCAGCCACTGCCAGCATCACCACTCAGACCGTCAGAAGCAGCAGGGCCAGCTGGAGACTTCAGGTGGCCAGGAGAGAATAAGACAAGACACAGCAGGTGTGATTAAGCCTTTACTGGGGACCAGGCATGGCTGGACAGGGACAAGCTGGGGGAGCAAGGCCAGGACACCAAGCCAATACTGGCGTTCAGAACAGTGCCGGGCAGGGCTGAGCTCTACAGACCAGGGGTCTGCTTGGGGACCTCAAACAGAGCAACCACTGAAGGGAGGACAGTCTGGTTGACTTTAGTTCATGAAGGATAATGCTGGGGGGACTTTGCTGAAGAAATGTAGGGAACTGAAGCTCTCAATGGCCTGGTTGGATGCGGGATAGGGGTAGGGAAAGAAGCCAAATGAAAGACCTGAGTGGGGGTGAAGGGAAAGAAAAGAGGGACTAAAGAACAAGAGGGGTGACTCTGTGAGTGAAGGATGGTCCAGTTGTTCTCCAGGGTCCCAGGGCAGCAATCAGAGCACTGGCTCCTCGTTCCCATCTCCTGGCCATACACAGTTTTACTTGTTGCCCCACACAGCAATCTTTAGAAACAGAGGCTTTGGGAGGAAGCGGCTGGTCTTCATGTAGGCAGAGATCTTCTTCAGGCCCTGAGGGTGGGGAAAAAGAAGGTCAGATCCCAGGGACTGCTGCCCCACGGGGCTCAGGCACAGCCGCTCCAGGCACAGTGAATGCAGGACCCTGGTAAAGCCCTTCCTTGGGGGCTTAAGTGTTGGAGCATTACACAGTCTTTCTGGGGTCCCCAGCTCTGGAAGGTCAACTCATCCAATTTCCTGGAACTAACGTGCCCTCTCAATAGTTGACACCACTGCCGGAGACTCTGCACTGCCAGGAGCTGCATAGCCACCAGGGATACAATATAACTACAGAATCTCCATACAACTACCTACAGGATACAATCTACTCTCACCACGTATCACGAGGGAAACTGAGGCACACACAGGGGAAGCACCTTCCTCATGCTCACACAGCCAGTAAGCGGGAGGGCTGGAAGGCAGCCTGCCTCTCCCTCCAGTTCTCTGCCCTTTCTGCCACGCTCCCCTCCTCTCCTCCACACAGGAGGCCCTGTCCTCCCTGTCTGCACAAACTTTCCCCTTTTGCAGAGGGAGGTGCCTGGCTTCCCAGGCTTTGCTCACAGAGGGACCCCTAGCAGAACAAAGGAGCTCAGAATGTGCCTGTGCAGCTTAGAAGAGGCCACATCTAACCCAATGACTCAGCAAAACCTCAGTGAAAGCTGATAGGAGGATGTGGAGCAGTGAAGCCAGGCCAGACTCTAATCATTCCTCTTAAAGGAGAAAGTCCATTTGCTGGCCTCTTATCTGGGCCCAATCTCACTGGACCCCAGCCTACGTCATCCCAGTCCTGCTGCAGCCAACTAGGCAATATGACACGTACGTGTCTTTGGGCACCATCGTCTCACATAGACAGTGTCCAGTAAGTTCTAAAGGATCCAAAGATGCTGGCACTGTCTGTACCCAATGGGCAAGGCCGCACAAGCTGCAGGCTGCAGCCTCCGCTGTCCTCCATCCCTCCCTGTCAATCATTCATCCCAGCAATTGCCAAATCCCCAAGGCCCGGCAGCCTGGACCAGAACCAGAGCTGATGAGAACTAGCTGATGAAGCAGATTTCACTATGGGGAATGGGGAAGGAGAACAGATTGTGGGCTGAGAAACCTGTTGCACTAATGCCTCAAATTCGCAAATCTGTAATTAAGCAGACGTGCTGCTCTCCAATGAGTGGACTAATCATGACTCCAATAAGTGGACCCATGATGAGCTGTGAGGGGGGTCCTGGCTGTGCTCCTCCAGCAGCCAGCTGGTCCCGCATGTTCCACACAGCCTCGTTCCTGTAGTTCTCCAAGTGCACTGAGCCCCAGGAGGCTGAGCTCCAGGCCTGGGTCACCTTTGCAGCCCCACTGTGCCTGACACAGTGCCTCATACACAGGAGAAGATCTGATCAGTGAAGGTGATCTAACACAAACGTACTACCCCATCGCTGAGGCAGAATCTTGGGTAAGTAGTTGGAAGAAGGAAAAGGAGATGGGGGGAAGGTAGTGCCCCAAACAGAAGACAACAAGATAAACTCCTTCCATAGGGGCACCCACACGTGGACTCAAATCCAAGGGCCAACTACAGCCTTGGAATCTCAGAACTACCCACAACAAGGATCTGATACCTGCCAAGCTTTCTGCAGATCAAGAGTAAATACCGTCTGTGTCTCTGGTGCTTCATATCAAGCCTACTGTGTCTCAACTTCACTAATGCCAGCTACAGACAGACCCCTGAACGCGCTCCTTCATCCACGTTGTCCTCAGCTGTGTCACCAAGGCTGGGAAAGGACCTGGGCCTTCACTCTTTGGCACAGGAAAGCGAGAGCCACTGACTGCTGCCCATGGAAGCCAGACACTGACAAGGAGCCCAGCACAGCCTGTCCTGCCTCAGTGACCTTGAGCAAATTACTTATCCTTTCCAAGCCTCAGTTTCGCTGTCTGTAACATTCCAGCAGGAATGTGAAAAGGTTACATAGGACCCATTGTATGGAAAATCGTGACCACAGATCCTGACATAATGCAAGTCCTCAATTAATGATAGTTACCTTCATTTTGGCTCCAGGACTAGGAAAGCATCAAGGAGAAAAGGAAAGACAAGAGATGTAAATAGAAGGAGGATTAGAGGAATCACCTCAAAGCGGGCTATGAAGTCCTTCAGGTTTGGGAACGCATCCAGGCACTTGGGCTCAAACATACGAAGTCGATCAAGGAGGTCATAAGCAAGGAAATCCACAAAGGTGATCTGCAGACAGGCGAAGGAAATGGGTACCAAACTCTGGGAAGAATGACAACTCCCCATCCACAGCCTTCCTCCTTACCTTGTCCCCTGCAAACCAAGGCCTCTTCCCTAGAAACTGTGAGAAGAGCTTCACTGTTTCAGGAAGCGCCTCCAAGTACTCAGGCTTCAGTTTCTCCTGAGGCACAAAACAGCTGTCACCACCCTCAGACACAGACGCCCTCGGCAGGGGGACAGGCCTCCCTAGGGCTGCATATGATCCCCAGCTTCCATGGGTGAGCAGCCATGTGCCCTGTGATGAGAGCTGGGTTGGTTCCCAGACTATGATTTAACCTACCGTGTGGTCATTAGACTCCTGCTGGGGACCACCTCCCATCTGTGGGAGGCAATGGGAAGGCAGAAATCAATGCCACACTGTCCCTGCAGCTGTCACCACTCATCTCCAACCACCCTCCATGGGACAACCCAGGAGTGCTGTGAGAACCTGGCAGGGCTCTGGACTCATGTCGAGCAGAATCAAAGATGCAAAGAACTAAAATCACTCAGGGAAAGAAGTCTTAAGGTCTAGCAGGTGGGTGACATAAAAATAGACACTTGAGCTGATTCCAGACAAATGAGGAGAATTTGAGAGGCTGGATGGAAGGAGGGAGAGGTTCAAAGGCCCTGTGGCTGACCCTGAACTGCCTACTGGGCTAATGTGCTGATGTCTGAGGGTGTTAAGGAGATAGCACTGGGCTAACAAGGAAACACACTGTCAAGGAACTAATTTCCCCTCTAGAGATTCTGGACTCTATCCTAAGATTGGTGGGAACTGACAGTTTTCATTTAATGAAATTTGAGGTTATGAGGGTCACTCTACTGGCAGCATAGGGACCAGGTTGGTAGATCAGCAGCTCCAAGGATTTCAATTGGCAAATAGAACTAGTATACACACGACACAGGAGTCTTCCCTCCTTATCAAAAGCTTGCCCAAACCAGCCCACTGGGATGGGACTCACAAAATCAGGGTTGTAGCAGAGCCTGGCCAGGGCCATGCGGGTGTCCATAATCTCATTCTCCAAAATGTCCACACGAATCTTCTCCTCTTCTGTCTCCCCACCTATGGCCACACAACACAGACCCTCCCTCAACATCCCATCCCAGCCAAGCCCAGGGCATGGCCACTGGTCCCCTGCATCACACCCCCAGCCCACTCACACAGGTTGTGCTTGCGAGCAATGTAGCGAAGGATGGCGTTGCTCTGGGTGAGCTTGTGGGCCCCATCAATTAGGTAGGGCAGCTGGAAGGACAACAGTCACAGGTCGCTTGGGCCACCAGGCCCCCCTGCTCCCCCTCCCTTGAGCAAGGGTGACATGAAACCTGCACCCACAGCGCCTGGGCCCTGGTAAGCACTAAATAATTATATTGTAAAATGAATGATGAGCTGGGACATAGAGCATCATGGGAAAGCAGTGAAGAGAACCAGGGAGCTCAGAGGCCGAGCAGAAGGCACTGGGTCCTGAGACCTGGAAGCTGGGACAGGAGACGGAGAAGAGGACCTCTCACTCGCCCCCACAGCACCCCCATACCCCGCACCTACATTGGGGAAGTCCAGGCCCAGCTTGAATTTCTCACTCAGCCACTGGCTTCTGTCGTAGTCGGGAGCTGTGGTGGAGAAGATGAGTGACACAAACATCCCCAGAGTCCAACCCACGTTCCTGGGGGGACTTTCAGGGGATCTGGAATCTGACCCACTAAGTCTCACAGTTCAGGTTGAGGGGAAAGAACACTAATGAGGCTCTGGAACCCACATGAGTGAGGCTCACACAGGGTTAGGCAACCCTAAGGGCAACCCATCCCAGATACCGAGACAGGGGTTCCAGCAATCCCCTCCCTTGTCCTGCCTTGGAAGGAGAGCTGCACCCGCAAAGGGGAGGGGAAGGGGCTGGGCCTGCTCCAGCTGCGGAGGGCAGCAGAGGTGAGTACCAGGTAGTCAGGGCACGGGGGTCTGGTACCAAGGCAGCAGGAGTTGGGTAGAAGTGGGGGCCCCACGCGATTGCCCTACCGTCCCCCATCGTGTACTTCTTTTCCTCATAGTTTGAGTCTGTGTACTCCAGGAGCAGGCGGATGGCATGAGCCAGCTGGGACAGAAGGCCGGGGCCAAGGTAAGAGATTGAGAGGCCTGACTGCCGCCTTTCCCTCCAGGTAACCTCCCACATACCCCTCAGACACCCAGGCACGCGCCCACCTGAAAGGACACGCGGCAGCACGGGACTGGGATCCAGCAAGCCCAGAAGACCAACCTTCTGCCAGAACCGGTTCGAGCTGCGTAGCGTTTCCCCGCCCGCCCACCTCCATCCCACCCGCCTGGGGGACCCCTCACTCACCCCGCGGATGTCCCAGTAACCCAAGGTCATGGCCATCGTGCTGGTGTTTGCGCTCTGAGTGGAGAGGCCTCAGCAGAGCTGGGACGAGATTTATTTTCCGACCCGGGTGGTGCGAGGCGAGGCCTGCTGCGCGCACCGCCCTCCCGGCCCCGCCCCCGCCGCGCCCTCGAGACTTGGCGACGCCGCCGGAGGCAAGCCCTGTCCCAAGGCAGGCGGAACTAAGATCCTGCTCAGCTACACTTGCGGGGACTCTGGCCTAGGTCTGCTCGCCAGGACATCCAAAGACCGCCTGGCTCGGGCTCCTCTGGTTTCCCCGCCCCATTCGGAGCTCTGCCAGGAGCAACGGAGTTGGCAGTGCGCTTGGGAGACCAGCCTGAACCCTAAACAGAACCAAGCTCTCTGCCTTCCTTCCCCTCTGGGCATCTCTCTGCTTTGGCTCTGGGTTGCTGAGTTCCCAGTTCCCGGGGCTCCAGGAGGCTCAGATGCCAGGTTAAGGCCAAAAAGCAGTGCCTGGGAAATGGCGGGTTTAACTCAGCACCTGTCACAGAAACAGCAGGACTCAGAACAGTCCGAAATCTCCTCCCAGTCCTTGTAATCCGTGACAGCCACGTGTCTTACAGAAGTACTATCAGTGGGATGGGAAGGACCACCCAGGGCACCGGGCAGAGAAAAGCAACCATGGTCTCAGGGTTTTCCTTTCAAGGACTTTAGAAGATCAGCCCTTCAGTTTGGGACTAAGAATAAGTGTCGACTGAAATAAAGAGTCTAGGTGGTATCAGTGAAGGAGTTTTTTCAATAATCAGCGTGAAGAGTTCTAACTCCAGGACAGCAGTTCAACAGAGCGCTCTGAGGGGACGTCTCTGAGGTGTGGGAGTATGAGTGTGGCTTATATCTCTTCAGAAAACAGTGTATGTGTAGGTAAGAGGGGAAAAAAACTGACAACTCAGTTTCAAATAAAGGGATAGAGTACATCTGGGCTTTTCTCTAAATAGTCCCTTGAAGGTAACATAAACAAGAATTTCTTGGTTATACTTCAAACAAGTTCAGAGATGCTGACGTTATCTGTGTGGAGGGAGACAAGGACCAGGGTCATTAATTAGTCCCTCAATCTCTAAGAAAAGCAGGTGGGAAATGTGAGCGCCAGGTACCCCGTTATCTTTTCGTGCTGTGGGTTGGTCCACTGGCATCTTGAGTCATGAGGTGGGGGGTTGCAAAGTCACTTTGACACAGGCTGAAGATGGCCTCTGTGGCTGCTTCACAGCGCAGCATGGAATTTATTGTACTGACTTATACCCATCAGGCTGCTTGCTAGACTTCCCTGTTAGACCAGGGAGAGGGGTCCCAAGAATCTGCCCACATAACCATCAAATATATATCAGTCAACTAGCTTTATGGGGTAACCTGTGAATCTAAACCAGAACCAGTCCCAGCAAAGAGGCAGGGTTTCTAGGTGCAAACCGAGATGTCCTGGCAGCCTGCTAGATGTCCCTCCCATTGACAGGAACAGTGACCTGGGGTAGACCACCGGTAGCATGGCGGACTCCCCACAGGACCACAGTCAGGGTGGGCCCTGTGGATCCTTCGCTGTCCAGAGCCACAGAGTCACCGCTTTGAGCCCTGACATTGCTTTCTGACCCATGTGTGGTTGGGTATGAAAGGGTGGCACAGGCAGCCTGTGAAGTCCCTCTGTGATCTGTGACATGTGGTACAAACTCCGGAAGAACAATGTCCAACCTCCTACCTTTCCTCTTTGAAGGCAGAAGACTATTACAAAACTAGGAAAATGGGACATAGTTTGGCCTCTGGGTCATTTTCCTTTATTTGAAGGATGTCGCAAGGTTAGTGGATATGTGAAAACGGATAAATGGACCTTTAAAGAAAAAGGACTTTACAAGTTAAAGTGCAAGGTTGATGCTCTACAGAAAACTAAGTTTTAGAATTCTGTAACACGTTTGGATAGGAAGGTATGAACTCTGTACTCAATAATGGTTTCACACCAGCGAGACAAAGTGTCGAGGAGGGGTAGAGGAGGACACAGAGACTTTCCCTAGTTGCTATTGGGAAAAGCCAGATCTGACTAAGCAGGAATATGACAACTAGCATTTACAGGAAGAGTTTTCTGGAATCCATCAGGATGGGACCCTCTTAACCTCTACTTCCAACTCTTGAGTTACCATGGAATGGCAGGCTGGTCTCCATGTGTCTGTCATCAAGAAAGCTTTCCTCATCGTGCCAACGAGTTAGGAAAATGAAGGCTAAGAAAATGGGATGAGGGGCCAGCCCCGTAGCCAAGTGCTTAAGTTCCCACGCTCCATTTTGGTGGCCCAGGGTTTGCCGGTTCGGATCATCTGCATGACCTACACACGGCTGGCTCATCAAGCCATGCTGTGGCAGCCTCCCACAGAAAGAACTAGAATGACATACAACTACGATGTACAGCTGGGTACTGGGGCTTTGGGGAGAAAAAAGAACACGAGGAAGATTGGCAACAGGTCTTAGCTCAGGGCCACTATTCTTCACCAAAAAAGTATACCAACAACAACAACAAAAAGAAAGTTGGATGACATGAACCTGAAAGTGAGGTCACCTGAATGATGGAGACAAGAGCCAATCCAGGGAGTAACTTTAGGTTGCTGATTTCAGTATTTAGTATGAAAGCTTTATTATGGAACATCCCTTGGGAATCCTCTTACCAAAGGAGTGCTTTCTATAGGCCTTGTAAATAAATGCAAAACAGCTTCTCCCCAAATCTGCATGCATTGCTGTTTTCAACTGCAGTACAGAGCTCACCTGTTTTTCTTCTTGTCCACCCCCCATCCCCTTACCATTTTACATGGGGTGAATCAGGAGTCCTTGACAGAACACTTTACACTGTCATCTTCAACATATCAATCTGAATGTTACCCAAAGAGCCCAAACTTGGAACTGGTTACACTAGCTCGTGACGCTTTAAGTAGTTCTTGTTATGGGCCAAAGTGGAGGGTGCGTTTTGTTTCTACAGGAGATGGTTACATTACATTAAGCAGGAGCATTTTATGGCAGCGGCTGTAGTAATGGTTATTTGGAAAGGCACATATGAGAAGAATATGTTTGTGTCAGGCATCCATCCTATGCATCTTTGAAACATCCTTCTTACAGTGGGGAATTTCTCACATTAAAGTCCTACCTCCACAAAGTAGAGGACTGCTAGCTGACCCTGATATCCATCTTCTGTTGTCATTTCTGCTGGGCACATTACTTATCAGGATAAAGATGTCATTTCTACTATGACTCAGTTAAGCCAGTGAGGTATAAGGAAAAAGGTTCTGTGTCACTTCCAGGAAGTTTCTTTAAGAGGGAAAGAGCCACCCCATTCACCTTCCTCCTCCTGCGTTTTGGAACTCAGGTGTGATGGGGTCTTAGTAGCCATTTCAGACTTTGAGATCGCACAGAGAATGAAACCACATGCAGAGGACGATGGAGCCTTCAGAAGCAAAGTCATCGAGGCTGCCATGAAGCCGGCATTACCAGTGCTTTCCTGTCTACTGCAGGACTTCTTTCACATGAGAAATAAACTTCTGTCCTGTTTAAGCCACTGCTGCTGTTCACTTACACACAGCAGAACTTAGTGCTAATCAATGCACTCGCTCTTCCAGCCTCCCTTGTGCCTGAGGCACAGGCCTGTGACCCAGGCTCTGTTAACTGCACACAGTGGGGCAGGACTTCAGTTCTGAAGAAGCAGGCTGTGAGAATTCATTTGCTGGCAAGGGGGGTTGAGGAGGGATCAGGATTTTGGAGGTGGCAGTGGTGAGACATTTGCACCTGGTGCCATACATCGCGGTAGGAGGTCCAGAGTCTGTGCCCAGCAGCGGCTGTGGAGCTTTCTCTAGAACAATCGCTCAGGCGGTTAGGCACACTTCCCAGTCACTCAGCTGCCAAGACCAACACCCTGACCCTCCCAGGGTTTCTCGTGCCACCTGATACCACTGATAAATCACTTTCTTATTTCAGCAACAAGGAACCCTGGGTGATCGCCACTCCCCTTCGGTCTCTCTGAAGATACAGATCTTGTCTTCAACACCTTGGCCTCTCTCTTACCTGCTTTAAGCCACTGGATTATACCCAGGGTTTCTCGTGGACGTGGGTTTAACCTTTACCCCCACATTTCTGGGTGTGAGAGTGACTGCAGTTGGCCACCAAAATCCACTCTTCTGTCCAAATATGGGTCTACCCTTGTGACTAGGTACAGCCACACACCTGGACCTCGCCTGCATAATGAGAGGTGGCTTCCTTGGGTTTTCTCTATTTTCCTTCCCATACTCGTGATAGAGTTTCCACCAAGGAAAAGAGGCGGCACCCTAGGGCATGGCAGAGCCACAGGATGGAAGAAGCTTGAGGCCCTGAATAACCTCGTGCAGCAGGGCTGCCTCAATAGCCTGGACTATTCCCCCTGGAACAAGAAAGAAGGAGCTTCCATTTTCTCTAGCTGCTGTCTTGGGGTCTCTCAGCTTTATCTTTCTCCGCCTACACAATGATAATGTAGGAAACTAGGCAGGGACTTGAAAGAGACAACAGGCAGTCACAGATCAAGGCAGGAGACACCAGTGCCAGCAGCCATGTTCTCAGATGGTCTTGTCTCCCATTCTAGCTGGGGGAGATTCACACTGAACGGTGTACGAGCACTGTCACGAGGAGCCAAAGAACCCCAAGTCCTGGGACCTCCGCTAGATCCTAGGCACCACATGATGGTCGTTTTTGGTTGCCTCAGTTTGAAGTACATACTCTCCTCTACTTCTACTCCTGGCTTTAAAGTGTATGTTTTTAGCTTTATAATTTTGACCACAATGTTTAGAAAGTTGTCTTCATTTGCAACTTTATCATGTCTTTCCTCTGTTTTCAAGATCGATTAATAGGTTCTGTTTTTCTTTGATGATCACTTTTACATTTCAAATCTAGTATTTTAACTTTAAGATAGCTATGCCCTTTTAATTTGAGCTTCTAGACTAGGAGTCCAGAAACTACGACCACCTGCTTTTGCCAAGACAGTTCTCTTGGCATACAGCCCACCCACTCATTTTGCCATTGACCGTGGCTGCTTTCCCACCCACGTGATAGAGGTGAGAAACTGACAGAGAGCCCATGTGGCCCCCAAGCCAAAAATATTTACTGTCTGGCCCTCTACAGAAACATTTGCCCACTCCTGTTCTAGCTCTGTATCTGTTTTACTCTAATGGATTATTTTCATTATCTCTACTTATCTTCTGTCATTGTGTCATTCCTAATTTCTATTACTTCTGTCCTTTTTTTCCTTCTATCTCTTCTGTCTTTACGATATACTTTAATAAGATTTTCGCTTAACTAACTTTAATCTTATCAGTTTCATAAATTTTAACTTTGCTCAACTTTTATCTTAGGAGTTTGGTCCTTTTTTTTTTTTTTGGTAAGGATGATTGGCCATGAGCTAACATTTGTTGTCAATCTTCCTCTTTTTCCTTGAGGAAGATTATCACTGAGCTAACATCTGTGCCATTATTCCTTTGATTTACGTGGATGCCACATAGCAACAAGCGGTGCTAGATCCACACCCGGGATCTGAACTTGTGAACCCTGGGCTGCCGAAGTAGAAAATGGGACCTTAACCACTGCACAACCAGACCGGCCCCACTTTTATCTTTCTTAATTAATTATTGATTTCTCAATGAACTTCAACATTATTGCTATTGCTCCCTTTCTATTTAATAACTGCAAGGCAGTGACCATCTGGACAAACGCCCAACAGGACTCTTCTCCAAATCATCTCCTCTCATGAGCTAAGTCTCAAGACTCTGCCTCAATAAAACCCAACTCCACTTTCTGGCCACTGTTTGGGGATCTTGCTTATCAGATGGTTATCCAATTCATCCTGCTCCTTTGCAGATGTCCTAACATAAAATGCACACACCAATCTATCGGTCTGGGAGAAGGAGCAAATCTAGCCCATTTGTGCAGCTTTGGCCTGGCACACTAGGCCTACTCATCTCAGGTCAAGTTATTCAAAGGGCAGCTACAGCCTACAAAATGCTTCAGTCACAGTTAATGGCTCATTCTTCCAGATCTATAGATTTAAAACCATCTCATCTTTGTGCTGTATCTCCAGTGGCCGAAATTAACAATACGCAGAGCTCTAAATCCCAATCATGTTGTAGAGTTTGCCTAGGGTCTTACCCAGAGATAATTCCGTCAAATTTCCAATTTTTATTGAATATTTACTGTGTGCCAAAAAGTGTGATATATATCACACATAAAAAGTCAAACTAGGCATACAGTCTCTCTTCAATGAATTCACGATCAAGTTGGAGAGGAAAACAAATGAAAACAATTAAACACAGTGGGATATGTCTCACTGGAGATGTTGTAAGAGTGCAGAGGAAGGGTGTCTAAAGCAGGGGAAGCTTCTGAGAAAGGGCGACTGAAGGCAGTCAGATCCCACACCCCAGTGGACTGCTCAACCCCCTTCCCACCACCCAAGAACCATGACACCGAGCACTGCAAGCTAACAGGAGGCATTGCATGAACGCTGAGTTAAGGTGGGACCCCGGCACAGAGGGCCCCTTCTGCAGAGACCCCATGCAGAGGCACACACATGAAGGAGACATTGAAATGAGTAGGAATTCCTACAATCCCACCTGTTCCCCCCACCACACACATACACACTCATCCCCATCCACCCAGCCCATGCAATGGACAACAGAAGGAAAAATGGACAAACCCACACCACCAACACAGTCAATCGTGAGTCCACGTGGCCAAAAGTAAGAAGACAAGACACAGCAGGTGTCATTAAGGCTTTACTGACGATCAGGCAGGGCAGGGCAGGGCCACAGTGGGGGAGCAGGCACTGCACACCAGGCCGATACGGCTCTTCAGGGCAGTGCTGGGAACTCAGGGCTCAGCTCTCCAGGCCAGGGGTCTGGTCGGGCTCCTCAAGCAGAGCAACCACCGAAGGGAAGGATGGACTGGGTGCTTCAGTGCAGGGAGAATAATATATTGGGGTGGGACTTCATGGAAGAGACGTGGGGAGCTGAAGCTGTAAACGGCTTGGATGAAAAGGGGGTCGGGAGGGAGAAAAAGAGACCAATAAGGCATCTGACAGTGAGAAGGGAGGGAAAGACAGTGAAAGAAGCAAGACAGCTGGCTCCAGGGGCACGGAGGTCCAGCTGTTCAGGGCCAGGACATCTGGGACAGCTCTGATTCCTCCCTCCCATCTCCAGGACTTATAAGGCCCTACTTGTTGCACCACACAGCCGTCTTCAGAAACAGAGGCTTTGGGAGGAAGCGGCTGGTCTTCATGTAGGCAGAGATCTTCTTCAGGCCCTGAGGGTGAGAAAAAGAAGCTCAGATCCCAGGGACTGCTGCCCCAGCAGGGCTCGGGCAGCACCACTCCAGGCACAGTGAATGCAGGACCCTGGTAAAGCCCTTCCTTGTGGGGTCAAGTGTCGGAGCATTACACAGTCTTTCTGGGGTCCCCAGCTCTGGAAAGTCAACTCATCCAATGTCCTGGAACTAACGTGATCTCTCAATAGGAATTAACACAGATGGAGACTCTGCACTGCCAGGAGCTGCATAGCCACTAGGGATATGATATAGCTACAGAATCTCCACACAACTACCTACAGGATACGATCTACTCTCACAGAGTATCACAAGGGAAACTGAGGCACACACAGGGGAAGCACCTTCCTCATGCTCACACAGCCAGTAAGTGGGAGGGCTGGAAGGCAGCCTGCCTCTCCCTCCAGTCCTGTGCTCTTTCTGCCACGCTCCCCTCCTCTCCTCCCCACAGGAGGCCCTGTCCTCCCTGTCTGCACAAACTTTCCCCTTTTGCAGAGGGAGGCGCCTGGCTTCCCAGGCTTTGCTCACAGAGGGACGCCTAGCAGAACAAAGGGGCTCAGAATGTGCCTGTGCAGCTTGGAAGAGGCCACATCTCACCCAATGACTCAGCAAAACCTCAGTGAAAGCTGATAGGAGGATGTGGAGCAGTGAAGCCAGGCCAGACTCTAATCATTCCTCTTAAAGGGGAATGTCCATTTGCTGGCCTGTTATCTGGGCCCAATCTCACTGGGCCCCAGCCTACCTCATCCCAGTCCTGCTGCAGCCAACTAGGCAACAGACACACAGGTGTGCTTGGGCACCATCTTCCCAAATAGAGTGTCCAGTAACTTCTAAAGGATTCAAAGATGCTGGCACTGTCTGTACCAAACGGGCCAGGCCCCACAAGCTGCAGGCTGCAGCCTCAGCTGTCCCCCATCCCTCCCTGTCAATCATTCATCCCAGCTCTTGCATAATCCCCATGTCCATGAGGCTGGACCAGAACCAGAGCTGATGAGAACCAGATGACAAAGCAGATTTTGTTGGGGAATGGGAAAGGAAAACAGATTGTAGGCTGAGAAACCTGTTGCAATGCCTCAAATACCCAAATCTGTAATAAAGCAGACGTGCTGCTCTCCAATGAGTGGACTAAGGGTGACCCATGAAGTGCAGTGAGGGGGGTCCTGGCTGTGCTCCTCCAGACGCCAGCTGGTCCCACCTACCACATAGCCTAGTTCTTGCAGTTCTCCAACTGCACTGAGCCCCAGGAGGCTGGGCTTCAGGGCTGGGTCACCTTTGCATCCCTAACATGCCTGTGGCAGTGCCTCGTACACAGGAGAAGTTTCGATCAGTGAAGGTGATCTAACATGAATGTACTACCTCATCGCTGAGACACAGTCTTGGGTAAACAGTTGGAAGAAAGACAGGGAGATTGGAGGAAGGTAGTGCCCCAAACAGAAGATGTCAAAATAAATCCATGCACAGGGGCACCCACACGTGGACTCAAATCCCAGGGCCAACTACAGCCTTGGAATCTCAGAACTACCCACAACAGGGATCCATTCCTGCCAAGCTTTCTCGACATCAAGAGAAAATACCGTCTGTGTCTCTGGTACTTCATGTAAAGCCTATCATGTCTCAACTCCACTAATGCCAGCTACAGACAGACCCCTGAATGCGCTCCTTCATCCATGTTGTCCTGAGCTGTGTCACCAAGGCTGGAAAAAGACCCAAGCCTTCCCTCTTTGGCACAGGAAAGCGAGAGCCACTGACTGCTGCCCATGGAAGCCAGACACAGACGGGAGCCCAGCACAGCCTGTCCTGCCTCGGTGACCTTGAGCAAATTACTTATCCTTTCAGCCTCAGTCTCCTATCTGTAAAATGGAGGTGATAATTGTTCTCCCCAGTAGGAATGTGGTAAAGATTAAATTTGACTCAATAAGTGTAAGATCCTGAGCACAGATCCTGATGTTGCATCCTCCATGATGCTAGCTATTCTTCTTTTAGCTCCTGGACCATGAAAGCAGAAGGGAGAAAAGGAATGACAAAAGAGATGTAAATAGAAGGAGGATCAGAGGAATCACCTCAAAGCGGGCTATGAAGTCCTTCAGGTTTGGGAAAGCATCCAGGCACTTGGGTTCAAAAGTACGCAAATAATCAAGGATGTCATAAGCCAGGAAATCCACATAGGTGATCTGCAGAGAGGCCAAGCAAGAATGGGCACCAAACTCTGAAACCTGAGAACAATGACAAATCCCCATCCACAGCCTTCCTCCTTACCTTGTCCCCTGCAAACCAAGGCCTCTTCCCCAGAAACTGTGAGAAGAGCTTCACCTTATCAGGAAGCGCCTCCAAGTACTGAGGCTTCAGTTTCTCCTGAGGCACAAAACAAGTGTCACCACCCACAGACTCCCAGAGCAGGAGCCAGGCCTCCCCAGGGTTGCCAGTGACTCCCAGCTGCCACAGGTGAGCAGCCACGTCCTGCCAAATGGCAGCTGTGTCGGTGTCCAGGCTATGATTTAATCCACACTGTGGTCATTAGACTCCTGCTGGGGACGACCCCCCATCTGTGAGAGGCAATGGGAAGGCAGAGAGCCATACCACAGTGTCCCTGCAGATGTCACCACTCATCTCCAACCACCATCCATCGGTCAAACCGAGGAGAACTGTTTGATACCATTGAGGGTTATGAGGTCACTCTGGTGGCAGTATAGGGACCAGCTTGGAAGATTAGAAGCTCCAAGGAGATCAAAGGGCAAATAGGACCAGTGTAGATGGGACATAAGAGTCTGGTCTACTCATTAAAACCCTGTCCAAATCTAGCCCACTGTGATGGGACTCACAAAATCAGGGTTGTAGCAGACCCTGACCAGGGCCATGCGGGTGTCCATAACCTCATTCTCCAAAATGTCCATCCGAATCTTCTCCTCTTCTGTCTCCCCACCTGTGGCCACACAACACAGACTCACCCTCAACATCCCACCCTAGCAAAGCCCAGGGCATGGCCACCGGTCCCCTGCACCACACCCCCAGCCCACTCACACAGGTTGTGCTTGCGAGCAATGTAGCGAAGGATGGCGTTGCTCTGGGTGATCTTGTGGGCCCCATCAATTAGGTAGGGCAGCTGGAAGGACAACAGTCACAGGTCGCTTGGGCCACCAGGCTCCCCCGCTCCTCCCTCCCTTGACCAATGGTGACATGAAACGTGCACCCACAGCTCCTGGGCCCTGGTAAGCACTAAATAATTATATTGTAAAATGAATGATGAGCTGGAACACAGAGCATCATGGGAAGGCAGTGAAGAGAACCAGGGAGCTCAGAGGCTGAGCAGAAGGCACCAGGTCCTGACACCTGGAAGCTGGGACAGGAGATGGAGAAGAGGACCTCTCACTCACCCCCACAGCACCCCCATACCCCGCACCTACATTGGGGAAGTCCAGGCCAAGCTTGAATTTCTCATTCAGCCACTGGCTTCTGTCATAGTCGGGAGCTGTGGTGGAGAAGATGAGTGACACAAACGTCCCCAGAGTCCAAACCACGTTCCTGGGGGGACTTTCAGGGGATCTGGAATCTGACCCACTAAGTTTCACAGTCCAGGTTTTGGGGAAAGAACGCTAATGAGGCTCTGGAACCCACATGAGTAAGGCTCACACAGGGTTAGGCAACCCTAAGGGGAACCCATCCAGATACTGAGAAAGGGGGTCCAGCAATCCCCTCCCTTGTCCTGCCTTGGAAGGAGAGCTGCACCCTCAAAGGGGAGGGGAAGGCGCGGGCCCTGCTCCAGCCGCGGAGGGCAACAGAGGTGAGCACCTGGCGGCCAGGGCAAGGGGGGCCTGTTACCAAGTCTGTAGGTGTTGGGCAGAAGTCGGGACTCCATGAGATTGCCCTACCGTCCCCCATCGTGTACTTCTTTTCCTCATAGTTTGAGTCTGTGTACTCCAGGAGCAAGCGGATGGCATGAGCCAGCTGGAAGAGAAGGTGGGGCCGAGGTCAGAGATGGAGGGGCCTGACTGCTGCCTTTCGCTCCAGCTAACCTCCCGCACACCCCCAGCCACCCAGACACTCCCCACACGCGGCAGCACAGGCCTGAGATCCAGCAAGCCCAGAAGACAAACCTTCTGCCAGAACCCGTTCCAGCTGCACAGCGTTTCCTCGCCCGCCCGCCTCTATCCCATCCGCCCGGGGGACCCCTCACTCACCCCGCGGATATCCCAGTAACCCAAGGTCATGGCCATTGCGCTGGTGTTTGCGCTCTGAGTGGAGAGGCCTCAGCAGAGCTGGGACGGGAATTTATCCTCTCCCCGATGGGGCGAGGCGGGGCCTGCTGCGCGCACCGCCCTCCCGGCCCCGCCACAGCCGCGCCCCCGAGGCTCAGCGACACCGGAGACGACCACACCCCCAAGGAGAGCGGAGGTAAAATCCCTTTCAACCAGAGTCGCGAGGAACTGGGCTCTGGCTCTCAGGCAGGAAAGGCTGCCTGGCTCTGGCTCAGGCTCCTCCGGTTCCGTAGCTCCCCCGCCCTCATTCAGACCCCTCCTGGGTCACAGGGAGTTGGCAGTGCGCTTGGGAGACCAGTCTAAAACACAAAAAGAACAAAGCTCTCTCCCTTCCTTCCCTTCTAGGCATCTCTCGGTTTGTCCCTGGGCTGCCCAGTTCCTGGGGCTCCAGGAGGCTCAGATGCCAGGTTAAGGCCAGAGCAGTGCCTGTGAAATGGCGGGTTTAACTCAGGACCTGACACAGGAAGAGCAGGACTCAGAACAGTCCCAAATCTCCTCCCAGTCCTTGTAATCTGTGACACCCACGTGTCTTACAGAACGGACTATCAATGGGATGGGAAGGACCACCCAGGCCAAGGGCCAGGCTGAACTTGGCCCTTCAGTCCTGGGACTAAGAATGATAACTACTGGGGAGGCTGGTGGCACAGTGGTTAAGTTCGCACATTCTGCTTTTGGGGAGAGTTCCCTGGTTCATCCCTGGTGCAGACCTATGCACTGCTCATCAAGCCATGCTGTGGCAGTTGTCCCACATATATAAAATAGAGGAAGATGGGCATGGATGTTAGCTCAGGGCCAATCTTCCTCAGCAATAAGAAGACGGTTGGCAGCAGATGTTACCTCTGGGCTAATGTTCCTCAAAAAAAGAAAGAAGACTGATATAAAATAGTCAATTACCTGTGGCCTAAACTGTGAATCTAAATCCAGAACCCGTCCCAGCAAAGAGGAAGGGTATGAAGGTGCAGTCCCAGAGATATCCTGGCAGCCAGCTACACGTCCCTCATTGACAGGGACCCTGACTCAGACTGTAGTGGTCACAGACAGAATGTGAGAGAGGGGAAAGGACTGTCCTCTGAGGGCCCAGGCGCCTGTGTTGCAGCAAAGGAAGGCCAGAGTCGGTGGCCACTCAGGAGCCTGGAGTGCCCCCCATAGGACAGCAGTCAGGGTGCACCTTGGGGACCCTCAGCTGTGCAGGGCCTCAGATTCTCTGCTTCAGGTCTTCACACTGGCTCCTGACCCTTGTTGGCTGGGTATGAGGAGTGCTCAGATGGCCTTGGAAGTCCCTCTGTGATCTGTGACCTGTGGTGCAACCTCTACAAGAACAAGGTCCTACCTGCCAACTTTCCTCTATGTTGTCAGAAGAATATTTCAAAACTAAAATAGGACATAGTTTGGCCTGTGGTTCATTTTCCCTTGTTTAAAGCATATTACAAGGTTTAGTGAATATGTGAAAACAGATGAGTTGGAACTTTAAATAAAAAATGGGTTTACAAATTAAAGGGCAAGCTTGGTGCGCTGCAGAAAATTAAGTTTTAAAATTGGGCAACACTTTGAGAGGCTAGAAAGGAGTGAATCCGGTACTCAGTAGACCTTCAGAGCATCGAGGGAAAGTGTGGAGGGGGTTGAGAAGGACACAGAGACTCTACCTAGTTGCTATTAAATCATAGAAGTCAGGGGTCTGCACATCTCTGCTTAGTTGGGGAGCTGGGGGTGGGCTGAATGTCACGAGAGGCGGCAGAGTCAGTCCCTGCTGCAGAAGCTCCCCACCCACTCAGACCTTGCCAGTCCTCCAGGCCTCAAGTCTGGGTCCAGGCTCAAGATGCAGCCCCCAGGGTCAAGGTGAGTTCCAGGTGGGTTTGCCCACAGGAGGGCGATGAGTGCCGTGGACACACACAAATGCTGGACATGTTAATTGTTATATTTTTCATAATACATTAAGGAGTTGTCATTCTGAGTTTATACATATTGAGCTTGGAACAGAGACATTACTAGATTCCACTGAGAAAATGATTTTTTTTTAAATTAACATTAAACAGACTAATAAGTATTACAAAAGGTAGAACAGATATTGTTACGTTAGCACTCATCCGTCCGGTCATTCTTTTATTGAAGAAACAGTCATTGAAATTCTGTCATATAGTAGCCACCATGAACGAGACAGTTCTGGCTATTAAAGACTGGAAGTCAGGTGGGAACTAAAAAAGAGAGATGTTTTAAAATATGAGTCACAATTTAGCATGTTTAAACTCAGAGGCAGTGAGGCAATGCCTCTTAGGACAAGCACACCAAGGAGACAGCAGATGGGCCCAGAGCACAGATGGCCCCTTCAGAAGGGCACGGTTCTGCAAAGGAGGAGGAGGGCCGGCTGAGCAGGATCTCAAACACAGGGTCCACAGGGCCCAGAGGGTCCACGTTGTACCAGTGGGTACACTGGGTCTGGGAAAGGCAATAGGGAACAGTGGGGATTAGGGAAACTGGAGGGTGGTCTGAAAGGAGTGATTGCAGTCAGTCGCGACCTCCCAGAAATTGAGTCCCAATGTTGCCAGATCTTCTGGATTTAATGTGCTCTCTCATCATTTTAAAATGTTGGCCAGTTCTAATATTTTGAAACAATCCTGTGCAGGACATCAACGAATATTGTGAGAAATTTGGACTAAGGGCCTCTAGTCTGACTTCTGGGCTGCATCCCACAATTCCTTCCAGCTCTGCTGCTAACACTCTAAACTCTCAAGGTAAATTAACAGAAATTCTATATAAAATAGCCTCAGAATAGAAAACTACATATTATGAAAAATACGAACAGTAGAATTAAAATGTCCTACATCATGGCAAGTTTTTAAAATCATCTAAATATTGTCTGTGTAAACTTACCGACATCTAAGTTAAAGAATATTTTTTACTCTGAAAATAAGAAAATAACAAGAACCATTTATAAGATGCTGCTAGGGGCTGGCCTGGTGGCACAGCCGTTAACTTTGCACTTTCCGCCTCTCAGCGGCCCGGGGATCGCTAGTTCCGATCCCGGGTGCAGACATGGCATTGCTTGGCAAAAGCCATGCTGTGGTAGGCATCCCACATATAAAGTAGAGGAAGATGGGCATGGATGTTAGCTCAGGGCCAGTCTTCCTCAGCAAAAAAGAGGAGGATTGGCAGTAGTTAGCTCAGGGCTAATCTTCCTCAAAAAAAAAAAAAAGATGCTGCCAAATTGGAATTTAGAAAAAAAATTTTCTACATGATTATCTTATTTTGAATAAGGAAAGACAAACTAGGACTTCAAGAATTTAGAAAAGGAACAAAGTTCAACGTGAAAACTATATAAGAAACAAGGCTAAGAAGAAATATATTGAAATTTAACCAATATGCTTATGAAACCGTTAGTTAATTCTCTGAAAACATTGGGTACATGGATAGAGCATCAGTCCAATAACAAAAACAGAACAGCGGTTACGAATTAATAAAAACCAGCTTCTAAAACTGGGGAAACACTTTTCTGGGCTAATGGATAATTACTGTTACAACCAAGAGGAACAGACATAAATATATCAACATATGTTGAAAGAAAGAAAGATTCTGAATGAAGTAATAATAGCAAAATAAAGAAAAATAATAACATCTAGTCCTCGAGAATTTTCTGGATAACTTCTCAAACTTTCAAAAAAGGAATGCATTACATAAATCGTCATAAACTATAGACCAATATGGTGGAATGACCTAACCTGGAAAGGACAACCGAGGTGAGGAAGGCTATAAATCACTGTCGCTTATGAACCTAAATCCAAACATCACCGCTGACAGCTTAGAGAACAGAGTACGGGGTTTCTGTTATAAAGGCCTTTGTGCTCCTGCAGAGCATACTGAGAAAAAGAGGAGAGAGGCAGGGAAAGAGATAAGAGAGAGAGAGAGAGAGGAGACAGAAAACGTGGAAAAAGTTATATCTAGGGTCATCACAAGTTATTTGTAATATTTTACAAATTTTCTAAAAGTCTGATATATCAATACTTAAAAAAATACATTTACCATATGATCCAGGACATACACACCTATATTATTAATTGAAATAAACATTGCATCAAATAGGACTTACCTTAAGTACATGTGTTGCACTCTGATTTTTATAAATTCTATTCTTTTCTTTTTCTTTCTGCTTTTTCTCCCCATATCCCCCCAGTATATAGTTATATATTTTAGTTGTGGGTCCTTCTAGTTGTAGTATGTGGGATGCCGCCTCAATGTGGCTTGATGAGTGGTGCCATGTCCACGCGCAGGATCCGAACCAGAGAAACCCTGGGCCGCTGTAGCGGAGCAGACGAATTTGACCACTCAGCCACGGGGCCCGCCCCTCTTTTCTTTTCTTAATGCTAAACTCCATGCACTAGCAGGTGTCTTCAACTGGGGGTGATTTGGGCCCTCAGGGGACGTTTGACAATGTCTGTAGACATTTCTGATTTCTGCCACTGGGAAGTGCTACTGGCAGCTAGTGGGTTAGAGGTTGGGGATGCTGCTAAACACCGTGCTAGGCACAGGACAGCCCCCACCACAAAGAGTCCTTGGTCCAAAGTGTCGGCAGTGTCGAGGTTAAGAAACCCTAGTCTGTGATGAACGGTGAAAAGCTGCAAGTGGAAAACCCTGCGCTGGCACATCTAGCTAGCAGAAAGGAGACCAGAGCACCCACTCCTTTGGCAACCAGCTGGCAGAGGGGTCTGTCTGCAGGGAGGACTGGAAACAATCTTGCCCTGGGGGCTCTTGCCGCTGGCACCAGGCTGCAGATCAGGGTGAAGAGAATGAGAAGTGGGCAGGGAACGTGAGTGGAAGGGCTGGGCAGCCTGATCCTCCAGGGTCCAGGGCATGGAGTGGTGTAACTGTGGCTGTCGGACAACAGAGGCCCTGGAACTCTCCCTCCATTGTGCAGGGCCAGGCAGAACCGAGCCCTGTGCCGGGACAGTAATTCTTCAGGAGCTTCCAGGCATGGCTAGACAGGATGAACTGAATTTATTTTTAAAATGTCTCCACCAAGGGATGGGTCTGGGGTCGGTCTTTGGTGTTGCTCTCCCACCTCAGCGCATCAGAGCCCTGCACAAGTGCCCACTTAGGCCGGGGGAGCTGGGTCAGGCGGTCGCCACAGCACTCTATGTCTGGAAAGTGCCAGAGCACTGTGGAGAGGACAGCACAGCCCTGCTCTCCCACAGCGGGGTGCCAGGGTCCAGAGCTAAAGTGACTCAGTGGTCTTCCAGTGCCTGGGCCACTGCGGTCACCCTGGGAGCAGAGGCAGAGCAACCCCATTACACTAAAGATGAAAGACAGGGGTTGGCGCACCATGCTTCTGGGGGCCCTAAGGGAACTGCAGGGGCTCAGAGGAGCCAGGAAAGAAAACCTATCCACATGGCTGACAAGGGCGTGCAGTTAAGTTCCTGCAACTCACTGCCAACTCACAATGTCTAGACTGAGATCCTCTCTGTTTTTACACCCTCATGGTGGTGACCAAAAATTGAATATGTAAGTACCTGGAGACGGCCACAGACGTGGACATCAGTGATGGAGGTCCCCATAGAAACAGCTCCTTTCCCACTGTCCACCTACCATTCAAGGCCTCCCAGAGACACTCACACACGTCAACCCTGCAAAACATGCAGGCAGACAGGTGATTTGCCCTTCAAAGGCCTTAAAATAGTAACGATGATCAGGAGATTACCAACAGGAAAAAATTATATCTTCACTCTAAACCTCCTTCTAGTTGTATTATAAGTTGTATTATAAGTTGTATCTCAGCCAGTCCAGTCTAAAACAACAGCACCAACCGAAATGGGTATGCTGTAGCTTTTTACGTTATGTTTGGTTTTACAAACCTATACATTGATTATTGTGATCAGTTTGTGTATTCGTTCGCTATATGATAAGAACCCTAGAATAGAACTACAATTAATTACAATTGTCCCTAAAAATAAATGTTTGGACTGCCGCCACCTCATGTTTTAACTGTGAACCAAGAATTGAATAAGTCATGGGTGGAGATTGGTTAAAGGGTTTAACTCAGAGACATTCACACACCGTGATTCATCAGGTGGAAACGTACTCAGTCAAGAAACAATTAGCAAAGCCTAACACTGGAAAACTTCAGGCTATGTTTATGACCCTATAAAACTAGCCTAACGTGAAATTGTGGAGCCCCAAGTGCCTAAGGTACTGGGGAAAGAGGTCCACATGCCTTGCTGGTGGCACCATAAATTAAATTAAGAGCAAGGAAATAATCTATTATAAGAGCATAAAACTGTTCTTACCCTTTGCCTTCTGGGGTCTGCTTGGGGATCTACCCAAATGAAATGACCAAAACCAGAGGAAAACATGAGCTTAAAGACGATCACAGTGTTGTAAAGAAAGGTAAAGTATTAGAAAACCCTACATACCCCACAGTGTGGGATTGACTAGGCAAAGGACCCTTCATCTCCAGGAAGGAATGCTATAGAGCCGTGAAATATTGAGAAGTATGTGCGCGTGTGGACCACCAATACGCACAGATTTCTAAGGGAAATGTTAAGAGAAAAAAAGGGCAGACTTAAGAAATGTATGCACACCCATCTCACCTATCCAAGAAGTAGGCATAATTTAACATAAAAAGAATATTTCAAGTGACCCCACTAAGATTAGAATACAGTTTGCTTAAGAACTATTCACTGACCACCCACTAGGGTGCAGGTGCTGTTCTAGGTGTTGTGCAAACACCTGTAACACGGCTGAACAAGAGACAAATCCCTGCCCTCAGGGTATTTTCGTCCTGTGGAGAGAGACAGAGGATACACAAAAACACAGATAATTCAATGTACAAGACACTATGTACGTCACTGCACACACACAAGGATAAGCCACATGCACTACAGGGCACACATCTTAAGTGTACACTCTACGGGATTTTCCATATGTATACGCTTACAGGATGCCTCCTAGATCAAGAGAGAACAGTTCCTGCGCTTCACAAGGTCCCTTCCATGAGGAACCCCACACACACAAAAGCCCACCATTCAACTGACCTCTGTGCACCTTGGATTCATTTTGCCTGTTCACGAGCATGTAGGTGGAATGATAGAGTGTACTTTTTCGTGTCTGCATCCTTTTGGTCAACATTGTGTGTGTGAGAATCATCCATGTTGTGCGTAGTAGTAGCACATTCATTTTCATTTGTAGTATATTCATGGCTGTATGTATTCCATCCATTATTCCAGTATGTATGGATAATGGAATTATATTAATAAACCACAGTTTATCTGTCCATTCTCTCATTTTAGACATTTGGATTGTTGCCACTTATTGGCTGTTTCAAATAAAGCTGCTTTGAACATTATTGTGCATGTCTCCTGGAAGACATAAGCCCTCGTCCCTGTGGGTATACAACAAAGCATGGGATTCCAGGGGCATGGGGTAGGTGTAAGTTTAGCTCTGGTAGATATCACTGGTATTTCAAAGTGCTTGCCCCACCAGCAATGAATGACAGTGCCAGTGACTCCATAATTCTAGAACAATTGTCGGTCCTTTTAATTTTAGCCTCTGTGGGTGCATAATGGGATTGAACTGTGTTTATAACTTCTCCAATAACTAATGATCTTGAGGACCATTCCATATGCTTATTGGCCACTTGGATATTCTCTCGGGAAATGACTGTTGAAGACTTGGCCCTTTTTCCTTGGGTTGTATTTTTGGATATGTCACTTTTGGACAAGAGTCCTTTATTGATTTCAGTATTTACTCCTAGCTGAGCCTTGCCTAAACACCAGATCCACAAAACCAGCAACTACTTACGGTGGCACAGTTTGGGAGCTATTGAGCTGCTGGGAACTTCCTCTTCAGCAGCCTACTCTACAGTGTGATTTAAAATTCCTCCCAGAGGATGCAGCGCAGGTGGAGGAATGGAGACTGGCGAATTCAGTGGAGGAAACCTATGCTTAGAAATGCTCCTGGAAGGGTGTGAAGTGGGAAAACATCAGCCCTTAAGTCCCTACGTAGACTCTGGACTTGTAATGGCAAGAAGAACCTAAAAGTTTCTTAAGTTAACAAAAAAGGCGATCCATAAAGGGGTCGAGTCAGACTGGCATCACCCTTCTCATCAGCAATGCTGAACTCGTGAAGCTGTCAGTAATTCCATCACACGTCTGAAGATCTACGTCGTAGAAGTCTAGACCCAACCAAAGTATTAGTTCAGAGTATACTAGGTGAGACATTTTCAGACATGCAAGGACTAAAGACATTTAAATCACAGGTACCTAGGAAAATGGAGTAAGCAAGAAACAAGGTCCCAACAACAGCTGTGCAGCAAGCTGGGGGAGGGCGCCTTGAGGGTATCTGAGAAAAGAGTAGAGATACGATCCTAGAGACCTTACGCATGTGATGAAGCCAGACAACGGACAAGGGAAAGGAATCCTGGTTCTCTCCACTGGGAATTCCCACCACCTCTGGGCCCCCCTCACTAAGACACACAGCTCTGCACAGCCATGAGCCCTCAATAATGGAAGATGGACGAAGGACAGATCCATGCCCAGAGAGAGGCCTCCCCTCCACAGACAGCCCAATGAGGCTTCCTGTGTAAAGGTGTCAGAAACAGGAACGAGAAGTCTCAGAACACCTTCCAACCAAACAGGATGCCCAGGGACTCAGCCACTGCCAGCATCACCACTCAGACCCTCGGATGCAGCAGGGCCAGCTGGAGACTCCAGGTAGCCAGGAGAGAATAAGACAAAACACACAAGGTGTGATTAAGGCTTTACTGGGGACCAGGCATGGCTGGGCAGGGACCAGCTAGCGGAGCAGACCCAGGACACCAGGACAATACTGGCCTTCAGGGCAGTGCTGGGAGCTCAGGGCTGAGCTCTACAGACCAGGGGTCTGCTTGGGGACCTCAAACAGAGCAACCACTGAAGGGAGGACAGTCTGGTTGACTTTAGTGCAGAAAGGTTAACATTGGGAGGACTTTGCTGAAAAAAATTGGAGAACCGGGGCAGGCTCCGTAGCTGAGTGGTTGAGTTCGCGCGCTCCACTGCGCGACCCAGTGTTTCGTTGGCTGGAGTCCTGGGCGCGGACATCGCACTGCTCATCAAGCCATGCTGAGGCGGCGTCCCACATGCCACAACTAGAAGGACCCACAAAGAAGAATATACAACTATGTACCGGGGGACTTTGGGGAGAAAAAGGAAAAAAATAAAATCTTAAAAAAAAATTGGAGAACCATATTTCAAAGGGACTGGATGAACTAGGATGGGGGGAGGACAGGGGCTAAAGTAAGGACTGAGAGAGAGAAGAAGGGAAACAAAAGAAAGAGAAAAGAAGAAGCCAGAGATTCTGGAGGTGCTGGAGGGTGCAGCTGTTCTCCAGGGTGCAGCACAGCAAGCCCAGCGTGGCTCCTCACTCACATCTCCTGGCCCTACGGGGTTCTACTTGTTGCCCCAAATGGCAATCTTTGTATATATAGGGCTTGGGAGGAAGCGGCTGGACTTCATGTAGGCAGAGATCTTCTTCAGGCCCTGAGGGTGCGAAAAAGAAGGTCAGATCCCAGGGACTGCTGCCCCAGCAGGGCTCGGGCAGCGCCACTCCAGGCACAGTGAATACAGGACCCTATTACAGCCCATGCTTGTGAGGTCCAGTATTGGAGCATTAGACAGTCTTTCTGGAGCCCCTAGCGCTGGTAACTCAACTATTTGAATTTCCTGGAACTAACGTGCTCTCTCAATAGGAGTTACCACTGATGGAGACTCTGCACTGCCAGGAGCTGCATGGCCACTAGGGATATGATATAACTACAGAATCTCCACACAACTACCTACAGGATACAATCTACTCTCACCGTGTATCACAAGGGAAACTGAGGCACACACAGGGGAAGCACCTTCCTCATGCTCACACAGCCAGTAAGTGGGAGGGCTGGAAGGCAGCCTGCCTCTCCCTCCAGTCCTGTGCTCTTTCTGCCACGCTCCCCTTCTCTCCTCCCCACAGGAGGCCCTGCCCTCCCTGTCTGCACAAACTTTCCCCTTTTGCAGAGGGAGGCGCCTGGCTTCCCAGGCTTTGCTCACAGAGGGACCCCTAGCAGAACAAAGGGGCTCAGAATGTGCCTGTGCAGCTTAGAAGAGGCCACATCTCACCCAATGACTCAGCAAAACCTCAGTGAAAGCTGATAGGAGGATGTGGAGCAGTGAAGCCAGGCCAGACTCTAATCATTCCTCTTAAAGGGGAATGTCCATTTGCTGGCCTGTTATCTGGGCCCAATCTCACTGGACCCCAGCCTACCTCATCCCAGTCCTGCTGCAGCCAACTAGGCAACAGACACACAGGTGTGCTTGGGCACCATCTTCCCACATAGACTGTGTCCAGTAACTTCTAAAGGATTCAAAGATGCTGGCACTGTCTGTACCAAACGGGCCAGGCCCCACAAGCTGCAGGCTGCAGCCTCAGCTGTCCCCCATCCCTCCCTGTCAATCATTCATCCCAGCTCTTGCATAATCCCTATGGTCCATCAGGCTGGACCAGAACCAGAGCTGATGAGAACTAGCTGACAAAGCAGATTCCATGATGAGGAACAGGAAAGGAAAACAGATTGTAGGCTGAGAAACCTGTTGCACTAATGCCTCAAACACCCAAATCTGTAAGAAAGCAGACGTGCTGCTCTCCAACAAGTTGCCTAATGGTGACCCATGATGAGCTGTGAGGGGAGTCCTGGCTGTGCTCCTCCAGCAGCCAGCTGGTCCCACCTACCAGATAGCCTGGTTCTTGCAGTTCTTCAACTGCACTGAGCCCCAGGAGGCTGGGCTCCAGGGCTGGGTCACCTTTGCATCCCCACTGTGCCCGACGCAGTGCCTCATTCACAGGAGAAGATCAGATCAGTGACGGTGATCTAACATAAACGTACTACCCCATTGCTGAGGCAGAATTTTGGGTAATTACAAGGAAGAAGGAAAGAGAGACAGGGGAAGGAAAGTGCCCAACAAAAGAAGACATCTTTGGTAGTTAATATCAATCGCTCTGTGTCTCAACTCTACTAATGCCAGCCACACACAAACTCCTGAATGTTCTTCTTCACCCTCAATGTCCAGAGCTGTGAAACTCAGGGTCGAGAGGAGAAGGAACTGAGATGTTCCTTTCCATACAGGAACGACAGAGCCACTGATCACCGCCCACGGCAACCAGAGACTGACAGGGAGCCCAGCACAGCCTCTACTGACTCTGTGACCTTCAGCAAAGTACTTATTCTTTCTGCCTCATTTCCGTATCTGCAAAAAGGAGGTGATAACTCTGCCATGTAGGAATGCCGTAAAGATTAAATTTCACCCAATATATGTAACATGTGAGCACAGATTCTAGAGTAAAAGAATTCCTCGAGGAATCCTAGTTTTTCTTTATGATAGCTCCAGGACAAGGAAAACATCAGAGATAAGAGGAAAAAACAAAAGTGAAAGAAATAGAAGGAGGATCCGGGGAGTCACCTCTAAGCGGGTGATGAAGTCCTTGAGGTTAGAGAAGGCATCCAGGCACTTGGGCTCGAATATGCGGTGAAGATCAAGGATGTCATAAGCCAGGAAATCCACATAGGTGAGCTGCAGAGAGGCCAAGCATGAATGGGCACCAATCTCTGAAACTTGAAGGAAGGGCAACTCCCCATCCACAGCCTTTCTCCTTACCTTGTCCCCTGCAAACCAAGGCCTCTTCCCCAGAAACTGTGAGAAGAGCTTCATTGTTTCAGGGAGCGCCTCCAAGTACTCAGGCTTCAGTTTCTCCTGAGGCACAAAACAGCTGTCACCACCCTCAGACACAGACGCCCTGGGCAGGGGGACAGGCCTCCCCAGGGCTGCGCATGACCCCATGCTGCCAGAGGTGAGCAGCCATGTCCCCCTAGACTATATCGCTGGGTGGGTGCCCAGGCTATGATTTAATCCACTCTGTGGTCATTAGACTCCTGTTGGGGACCACCCCCCAGCTGTGAGAGGCACTGGGAAGGCAGAAAGCAATGCCACACTGTCCCTGCAGCTGTCACCACTCATCTCCAACCACCCTCCATGGGACAACCCAGGAGTGCTGTGAGAACCTGGCAGGGCTCTGGACTCATGTCGAGCAGAATCAAAGATGCAAAGAACTAAAATCACTCAGGGAAAGAAGTCCTAAGGTCTAGCAGGTGGGTGACAGAAGAATAGACACTTGAGGTGATTCCAGACAAATGAGGAGAATATGAAAGGCTCGATGGAAGGAGGGAGAGGTTCGAAGGCCCTGTGGATGACCCTGAACTGCCTACTGGGCTAATGTGCTGGTACCTGAGGAGTCAAGGAGACAGCGCTGGGCTAACAAGGAAACAGACTGACAAGGAATGATTTCCACCCTGGGGAATCTGCACCCTACGCTAAGATGGGCAGGAACTGAGAGTCATTTCATGCAATTTGGGGTGATCAGGTCACTCTGGTGGCAGTATAGGGACCAGCTTGGAAGATTAGAAGCTCCAAGAAATTCAAATGGCAAATAGGACCAGTGAAGATGGGACACAGAATTCAGTCTCCAATAAAAAGGCTGTCAGGCCCAGCCCACTGGGAGGGCACTCACAAAGTCAGGGCTGTAGCAGACCCTAGCCAGTTGATTGCAGGTGTCCATAAGCTGATTCTCCAAAATGTCCACACGAATCTTCTCCTCTTCTGTCTCCCCACCTATCACCACGCAACACAGACTCACCCTCAACATCCCACCCCAGCCAAGCCCAGGGCATGGCCACCGGTCCCCTGCACCACACCCCCAGCCCACTCACACAGGTTGTGCTTGCGAGCAATGTAGTGAGGGTGGCGTTGCTCTGGGTGATCTTGTGGGCCCCATCAATTAGGTAGGGCAGCTGGAAGGACAACAGGGGCAGGTCGCTTGGGCCACCAGGCTCCCCCGCTCCTCCCTCCCTTGACCAATGGTGACATGAAACGTGCACCCACAGCTCCTGGGCCCTGGTAAGCACTAAATAATTATATTGTAAAATGAATGATGAGCTGGAACACAGAGCATCATGGGAAGGCAGTGAAGAGAACCAGGGAGCTCAGAGGCTGAGCAGAAGGCACCAGGTCCTGACACCTGGAAGCTGGGACAGGAGATGGAGAAGAGGACCTCTCACTCACCCCCACAGCACCCCCATACCCCGCACCTACATTGGGGAAGTCCAGGCCAAGCTTGAATTTCTCACTCAGCCACTGGCTTCTGTCGTAGTCGGGAGCTGTGGTGGAGAAGATGAATGACCCAAACGTCCTCAGAGTCCAACCCACGTTCCTGGAGGGACTTTCAGGGGGATCTGGCATCTGACCCACTAAGTTTCACAGTCCAGGTTGGGGGGAAAGAACGCTAATGAGGCTCTGGAACCCACAGGAGTGAGGCTCACACAGGGTTAGCAACCCTAAGGGGAACCCATCCCAGATACTGAGACAGGGGGTCCAGCAATCCCCTGCCATGTCCTGCCTTGGAAGGAGAGCGCCACCCTCAAAGGGGAGGGGAAGGGGCCGGCCCTGCTCCAGCTGCGGAGGTCAGCAGAGGTGAGCACCAGGTGGTCAGGGCACGGGGGCCTGGTACCAAGGCAGCAGGAGTTGGGTAGAAGTGGGGGCCCCACGAGATTGCCCTACCGTCCCCCATCGTGTACTTCTTTTCCTCATAGTTTGAGTCTGTGTACTCCAGGAGCAGGCGGATGGCATGAGCCAGCTGGGACAGAAGGCCGGGGCCCAGGTAAGAGATTGAGAGGCCTGACTGCCGCCTTTCCCTCCAGGTAACCTCCCACACACCCCCAGCCACCCAGACAGGCGCCCACCTGCGAGGACACGCAGCAGCACGGGACTGGGATCTAGCAAGCCCAGAAGAGGAACCTTCTGCCAGAACCGGGTCCAGCTGCGCAGCGTTTGCCCGCCCGCCGGCCTCCATCTGTCCCGCTTAGGGGTACCCCTCGCTCACCCCGCGGATGTCCCAGTAACCCAAGGTCATGGCCATGCTGCTGGCGTTTGCGATCTGAGAGCAGGGGCCTCAGCAAACCTGGGAGGGTAATTTATCCTCTGACCGGGGTGGGGCGAGGCGGGGCCTGCTGCGCGCACGGCCCTCCAGGCCCCGCCCCCGCCGCGCCCCCGAGACGCGTTGACGTCGGAGGCGACCACGCCCCCAAGTAGGAGGAAGCAAGCTTCTTTTCAGTTCTCTAGCTCCTACCCTTGGGGATACAGGTCAGGTAGCTGGACGCTGAAGGCCCCATGGCTCGGGCTCGCCCGGTGTTCCCGCCCCCAACAGACCTCAGCTAAGTCCCAGGGGGTTGGCAGTGCGCTTGGACGCAGGCCTGAGCGATCCAGAGACCAAGGCCCCTTTCCCTTCCTTGCCCTCTCGGCATCTCTCACCCTTGCCCCTGAGCTGCAGAGTTCCTGCGGGCTCTGGGAGGCTCTGACTGCCCGGTTAAGGCCGAACACTGATGCCCCTCAAATCAATAGTTAAATCAGTTTCTATTAAGGGAAGATTAGGCCTCAGACCGGTGAAAGTTCCTCCCAGTGCTTATAATTGGTGACAGCCACGTGTCTTAGAGAACAGACTTTCAGTGGGATGGGAAGGGCAACCCAGGCCAAGGGGCAGAGGAAAGGAACTGTGATCTCTTGTGTGTTCCTTTCAAGGACTTTGGAGGACTCAGCCTTTCGATCTTGTGGCTAAGGACGATAAAGATCAAATTGTAAGTCGATCAATTAGCTTTGTGAGCTAACTTGTGAATACTTATCCAGAATAAGTCCCAACAAAGAGGTATGGAATCCAGTGAAACCCCAGAAGTGTCCTGCCAGTCAGCCTGATGTCCCTCAATTGACCAGGACAGTGACTGGGAATGTGGTGGTCACAGCTGGAATGTGAGAGAGGGGGGCAGAGCTGTCCTCTGAGGTGCCAGACCCCTGTACTGCTGCAGGTAGACCAGAGTGGGGTGGCCAGCCAGGAGGCTGGAGGACTCCCCCCAGGACCACAGTCAGGGTGGCTCCTGCAGTCCCTTAGCCGTGCAGGTGCACAGATTTGTCCCCTGACCCGCCTCCTGACCCATGTGGAGTTTGGGGTATGACAGGATGCCTCAGTGGCCTCTGAAGTCCCTCTGTGATCTGTGACATGGTATAACCTCCACAAAGACAATGTCCTGCCTGCTCACTTTCCTCCTTGAAGTCCCCAGACTGTGTCCCTTCCCCCTGCCATGGAGCCCTAGGGTCCAGCCTTTCTGAATTCCCTAGGGAGCAGCACAGACTCTGAAGTCAGGCTGCCTGGGTGCAGATCCCAGCTCTGCCACAGTAAGCTGTGGCCTCCTGTGCCTCACTGCCTTCTCTGAATAAATGAACCCTCCCTCATAGGGTGGTTAGGGGAAGTAAGCCCATACTTCCCTAAGTTCCAGAACACTTAGAACAGACCAATGTTACATCAATTTATAAATATAGATTATCCCAATGAACCCAGTTGTCTTTTGTCTTCACACTTTTTCACCTGCTGTTCCTTCTGCCTGGAATGCTGTGCCCTGGGCCCAGGGCCGGCCTCATGCCTCTTCATCTTCTAAGGTAAGCTTAGAAGTCACCACCTCTGGGAGGCCACAACTGATAACTCCTCTGCGAATCCTTAGGGATTGGTCACCAAAGATGTCTGATTGGTTTTGCTTTGAGAAAGCTTCACTGTCTTCTTGAACTTCAGTGGCGCATTGTGACTTGCTTTGGCCAATGAAATGCAGCAGAAATTACACTTTGCAGGCAGAAGCTTTAAGAGCCAGTGCGAGAGTCGCCACATCTGCTTCTCAGCGCTGTGATGACTGAGGGCAGGCTCCAGGTTGAAGCCTCCGTCAGTGCAGGTCTCCGACAGACTACGGAGCGCAGGGCCCTGTTGAGCACGTGGGACGTGAAGCGTCAGTAGGAATTATTAAGTCACTGAGATTTGGTTTACCCTGACCTAGACCCCAATATCCCCGATACACTAATTTAAATGCACTTGTTTTCAATCTCTTCCCATAGGATTGCATGTTTTCCTGGAGCAGCACATGCATGCTGAACCCTAATTGTTTGCTTAAATGTCTGTCTCCGCCACTAAACTATAGTCGCATGAGCGCAGGGACTGTGTCTGAAGCAAATTGTTATACTTAGCGCTTCTATAGAGTCCGGCACAAAGTCGGCATCCACAACACTGTATTGATTCCGTTCGTTCTAGTGAGGACTGGAAGGAGAAGAGTTTCCCTCAGATAAGAGCTTACTGCGCTCAAGGAACTTTTAGAAATTCCTCTCTGTTCTGGTTGGAAGCGAGAACACGGAACATGGAATGCCCTGTTGTTAAAACAGCTGGTGGACGGGCTTGGAGTCAGCAGCCAAGTTCAGGTTCAGGAAGGTGCCAAGGAGCAGCACAGACTCTGAGGCTGGGGGTGGGGGATGTGGCTTAGTGAGCCGGCTTGCTCCTTGCTCGGGCCTTATTGGAACGCAACATTTCAGAAAACCGACACACATGGGCTCTTGGTGTTCTTTGGGGATTTTCCATGGAAATAGTTACAGGTGACTCACTCGTGGCATTTACATCCAGAGCAAAAGATTCAATGGATGTGTATGTATTTGAATGACAGATGAACAGGTGCTGCTGTGCGGCCCCACCTGGAGAGGAGGGCCAGCCCGAGGTGATTAGAAGGGAGTGTTTTCCACGGTGCACAGGGACGGGAATAGATCAAAGAGGATAATGTTCCTGTTGTGGTAGAAGTGGAAGGAAAATGGGAATAGGTCTCTATTTTATCTTGTGTGGTGAAAAGTTTCCAGTCATGGTAACATATTTTTTTCACCTGTGACTGAAACCCTAGCTGCTTTCTTCCAAAATTAAGTTTCATATGGAAGCGACCTGGAAGAACGTGGGAATGCAGGGTGGCTGTCGGGGCTTTTGGACAGGACTAGCCTTATGGGGGATTGTAGGGGCGACCCCATGAAGTGGAGTCTGCTGGGAAAAGCCAGATCTGATTAAGTAGGAATATGACAATTAGCATTTACAGGAAGAGTTTTCTGGAATCCATCAGGATGGCCCCTCTTATCTTCTGCTTCCAAATCTTGAGTTACCATGGAATGGCAGGCTGGTCTCTGTGTGTCTGTCATCAAGAAAGGTTTCCTCATCATGTCACACGAGTTAGGAAAATGAAGGCTAAGAAAGTGGGATGAGGGGCCAGCCCCGTGGCCGAGTGGTTAAGTTCTCAAGCTCTGCTTTGGTGGCCTGGGGTTTACCAGTTTGGATCCTGGGCATGGACCTACACACAGCTCATTGAGCCATGTTGTGGGGGCTTTCCACAGAGAAGAATTAGAATGACTTACAACTAGGATATACAAGTATGTACTGGGGCTTTAAGGAGAAGCAAAAAAACGAGGAAGATTGGCAACCGGTCTTAGCTCCAGGCCAATCTTCTTCACCAAAAAAACTACCAGAAAAAAAAAAAATGAAAGTGAGATGACAGTGAACCTGAAACTGCGATCACCTGAGTGCTGGAGACAAGAGCCAATCCAGGGAGTAACTTTAGGTTGCTGATTTCAGTGTTTAGTATGAAAGCATTATTATGCAACATCTCTTCGGAATCCTCTTACCAAAGGAGGGCATCCTATAAGCCTTGTAAATAAATGCAAAACAGCTTCTCTGCAAATCTGCGTGCACACTGTTTTCAACTGCAGTACAGAGCTCACCTGTTTTCCCTCTTGTCCACCCCCCCCCCCATACCATGTTGCATGGGGTGAATCAGGAGTCCTTGACAGAACACTTTACACTGTCATCTTCAACATATCAATCTGAATGTTACCCAGAAAGCCCAAACTTGGAACTGGGTACACTGGTTCATGATACTTTAAGTGGTTCTTGTTTGAGGTCAAAGTAGGGGGTGCGTTTTGTTTCTACAGGAAGTGGTTGCATTACGTTAAGCAGGAGAATTTTATGGCGGCTGCTGTAGTAATGGTTGTTGGAAATGCACATATGAGAAGAATATGTTTGTGTCAGGAATCTGTCCTGTGCATCTTTGAAACATCCTTCTTACAGTGGGGAATTTCTCACATTAAAGTCCCACCTCCCCAAGGTGGTGGACTGCTAGTTGACCCTGATGTCCATCTCCCCATCTTCTGTTGTCATTTCTGCTGGCGACATTACTTATCAGGATAAAGATGTCATTTCTACTGTGACTGAGTTAAGCCAGTGAGGTATAAGGAGAAGAGTTCTGTGTCACTTCCAGGAAGTTTCGTTAAGAGGGAAAGAGCCACCCCATTCCCCTTCCTCTTTCTGCGTTTTGGAACTCAGATGTGATTAGGCCTTCATGGCCATTTCAGACTTTGAGGTCGCACAGAGAATGAAACCACATGCAGAGGACGATGGAGCCTTCAGAAGCAAAGTCATCGAGGCTGCCGTGAAGCCGGCATTACCAGTGCTTTCCTGTCTACTGCAGGACTTCTTTCACATGAGAAATAAACTACTGTCCTGTTTAAGCCACTGCTCCTTTCACTTACACACAGCAGAACTTACCACTAATCAATGCACTCACTCTTCCAGCCTCCCTTGTGGCTGAGGCACAGGCCTGTAACCCAGGCTCTGTTAACTGCACGCAGTGGGGCGGGACTTCAGTTCTGAAGAAGCAGGCCCTGAGAATTCATTTGCTGGCAAGGGGGGTTGAGGAGGAATCAGGATTTTGGAGGTGGCAGTGGTGAGACACTTGCACCTGGTGCCATACATCTGGGTAGGAGCTCCAGAGTTGTGCCCAGCAACAGCTGTAGGGCTTTCTCTAGAACAATCGCTCAGGTGGTTAGGCACACTTCCCAGTCACTCAGCTGCCAAGGCCAACACCCTGGCCATCCCAGGGTTTCTCGTGCCACCTGATACCACTGATAAATCACTTTCTTGTTTCAGCAACAGGGAACCCTGGGTGATCGCCACTCCCCTTCGGTCTCTCTGAAGATACAGATCTTGTCTTCAACACCTTGGCCTCTCTCCTACTGCTTTAAGCCACTGGATTATACCCACGGTTTCTCGTGGACGTGGGTTTAACCTTTACCCCCACTTTTCTGGGTGTGAGAATGACTGCAGTTGGCCACCAAAATCCACT